CGTCCCCTCCCGGAGGCCGGCCCGCCCCGCCCGCCCCCGCCGAGCTCACAACTTGCCGGGAGTCGGAAGCAAAGTGAGCGCAAAGTGCGTCCAAGTTGCCGGAATGGCGCTGCAGAGCCGACCCGAGGCTCTCGCGGTGGAGCTCGCTCGGCACCAGGTAGGTGCTGGGGCCCCGGGTCAGGGGTACCTGGGGAGACGGGGAGCCGGGGGACCCGAGCCTGCGGCGTCACTTTCTCGAAGCGGGGTCTAAATGGCTGGGGTGTCGGAAAGAGGAAGCGGGCATGGACCGGTCCCCGGGAGCCCCTCCGACCCCCCATGTAGTTCTGCACAGTTTGGGGGTTCGGGGGACCGTGAGACCCGAGCCAGACGACTTCTCTGTCTCGTCGCAGGGGGTGCGTGACTGGGAGTGCCTGGAGGGGTCCCCCGTGAGCCTATCTGTCGGGGGGGAGAGTGTACGGATCCCCCCGGGCGCCCCATCTTGCACCCCCCAGTTCATTTCAGCACAGTTTGGGGGAGGGGCCAGGGGCATGGGGGCGCAAGGAATCCAAGCCCCCCTACTTCTCGGTCTCGTCTTAGTCTTAGTGGCTGGGGTGCCAGGACGGGACCTCCCCCCCCGGGGGCCTGCTGGGGGTGGGGAGACTGAACGGACCCCCCTCAGGCGCCCCCTCCCGGCCCCCGTGCGCAGTCTGGGGGGGTCTCGGGGTGGGGGCGCGTGAGACCCGAGCCCGACGAGTTGTCTCTGCCGTCGCAGGGTCTGCTTGAGGAGGGGTGCAGGAGGGGGCCCCCCGCGAGCGTGCAGGCCCCCCACCCCCCGCGATCCTGCAGTTTGTAGAAGTACTTTCGCGGGCTGCTGCTGTGCGGCCGGGCCGAGCAGGCTCGCGGCGCGCGGGTGTGTGCTGGAGAGATTAGGACGCGACTTGAATATTTATGAGGCTTGCTCGACACGGACTCGCCGTGTTTACTTGGCTCTTTGTTCCTCCCCCCTCCCCCGGCACACACTCACACTCCCCGGCACACGCCGCCGGCCTCCAAACTTGCCGCGCTCGGGGCGCCGCCGCCGGTGGCCCCAGCCCGCCGCCCGCCGCTGCCCCGATGAGGCGGCAGCCACAGGTAAAAGGCCCCGCCGCCTGCTGCCACTCGCGCCGGGACGCGCGGGGGAACTTGTGAAGGCGCGCGGCCGGCGGCCACGGGCGGTGGCGGGGGCCAGGCCCGTGCGCGCGTGGGCGTGTGTGTGGCGTGGGGGTGGTGGGGACGCCGGGGCTACTTAACTCCCTGGGGGGCGGCCGCCTGAGTCCCATCCTGTGTCTCTGCAGAACGGCGACCTCCAGAAGCAGTTCCACGACAGGCCTCCGCGGATCGCAGCGCTGAGCGACAAACAAGTAAGCGAGGGCGCAGTGGCGCCCCCACCGTCGGCAGGGGCGGCGGGGCTGGCGAGGGGCGGCGGCACTTTGGCAGCACCCTAGAAAGTACCGGCCCGGGCGCCGAGTGCCAGACTCCCCGGAGGGGCCAGTCCCCATCCTCAAAGTTTCCCGCCCCCCTTTTCTGCCTGGGGAGGGCTGGAGGCGAAGCCAGCGAGCCCCGGATGGCCGAGAGCGGCGAGCTGCGCTTGGAAGGCGGCGCTCGCCCGGCGTCCATTTTGAGGTAGTGGACATGTTTTTGGAATATGGACATTTCCTCCCCCATCGGCGCTGCATTTCCTCCTGGGGGTGTAGGAGGCTAATTCAGAGCTGACACTCAACTCCTAGGAAGTCGTTTCGGGGCTCTGCTGCAAACGCGCGTTAATGCCGGTCCCCTGTGACCTCCTGCGGGCCTCCACTTTGTCAGTTCCACTTTGGATTCTTGGAACCTGACGCCAGCTCCCAGGGAACAAAAGAAGGGAGCCCCCAAGACACCCCAAATCTGCTCCAACTTTGGTGTCTGGGCGTGAAGTGGAAATGGGGCGTCCGAGTAGCTCCCCGCGGGGCGCGCCTCAGCCTGGCCCCTCCGGGAGGAAAGTTGGCCATTGTGACTTAGTTGCGCTGAGCTCAGCGCTCGGGGTTTCAGCACCACGAACAGATGCCGCCGCCGCCGCCGCCGAAAGCTGCCGCCCGCCCCGCCTCCGTCCTCCCCTCCCCCCGCGCGCCCCTCCCTCTCCCCGCGCGCCCCCCACCCCCCGAGCGGAGAACTTTGAGCCGCGCAGCCAATGGCACTCGCGCGGTGGCGCGGCTCGTGGCGGCGGGGGCCGCCCCCCTCTCCTCCATCCTCTTCCCCTCGGTCCTCCCTGCCTCTCCCCCTCCCTCCCGCGCCCGCCGCCGCGCCCCCTGCCATCGATCGCGCTTCCTTCGGAATGCCGGCCTGCCGCTGTCAGCACCAAACTTGGACAGCTCCCGGCCCGCGCAGCCCCAGCCGCCCGCCGGCTGCGCACAACAGCGCCTCCCGCCAGGGCGCCCCCTCCCGGGAGGGAGGGCTTTTCGTGGACGCGATGAGGAGGGGAAGGGACCGGTGGTCCCGGCGTCGACGCACCCTGGGTTCCGAGTCTTTAAAGTTGGGAAGTGGTGGGAGGGGGCGCGCGTGGGGGGGAGGGGGCGCGGAGGGAAACGCGGCTGTCTCCACGGGTCCCCAGGCGAGCGCACTGGGAAGAGCACCACTCTCCCTCCCCCCGCGCTTCTGCCGGTGCCCGCGGGCCCCCTCCCGGCTGCGCGCCCCCGGCCGCGAGTGGAAGCTTCCATTCCGGCCGCAGGGGGCGGCCTGGCGCGCGGCGGAGTCGCCGAGTTGGCGGGGGGAGGGGGCGGCGGGCCCCGCATTACCATTTTGATTGCTTTGATGCCATTTTTGGAGGGGGAGGGGTGGGAAGCCCCTGCTCCGCGGAGCACAAAGCTGTGTAATCACTGTGGGGAATCGAATCCGATACTTTCTCTCTTTAAAAATAAAAAAAAAATCCCACCCCCACACCTGCTACCGTGTGAGCGCCGAGGTTCCCTAAACCCCCTTTGCACCGCAAGTTCTGGGGTCTCGAATGCTGAGATTGGGGAGCGGAAAGCGGGCAGCTTGGGCGGCCACAACGCCTCTTTTGTGTGCGCGCACGCCGGCCGCTAGTTGACTCTTTGGAGCGGCCCTCCGAGCTCGGGTCTGCTCGCGTCCTCCGTGTTGTAGCGACTGTTGCAAGGCTGTTCGAATTTGTACGAAGCTCGTACATGAGTAGCGGGTTGTTATCTGCCGTGCGGGATTGTAGACACGCCAGAGAGAAACCTTTGAAAAATCTTGCTGGAGCGGCGAGCTGCTGCTTGGGGCAGGAGGGGGGCGCTTTTCCGCTCAAGCTGCGTTTGCCTTTAAATTCCTACCAACTCCAGGGGAAGGAGGCTTGGGAACGGACCTCCATCTTTTTGTGCGTTTGTGCGTGTGCGCGCTTGTTTAAAAAGAAAGAAAACTTTTGTTCTTTGCCCTTTTACAAAGGTTTTTCTTGTAAAGGACTAAAATGAACAGCGGTAAGCAGCTGGAAACTTGTGTTTGTCACTGTAAGTGGTGTTTTTCAATCTCTCCCTTTGTGGCATGTTATGTAAGGAGGGCCCGTAAAGTAGGAAGGGAGGGGAACGAGGCGCTAGAACAGCATGCAAATAGTGCTGCCTGGCTCTCCCGAGCC